CTACCTAAAATAACTTTATGAGGTAATGTGATATAATGACAAGAAAGTTTCAATCAACATGCTGGTCAAACCTTTTTTGTGTTGACAAACATTTTTCCGAATCTTACAAACGCTCCCGGCTCAAGTGGCCAGTATTGGGTAGATTTGATCTTTCCGTCTTCAACGGTCTAAAAGTTAGCAATTGTTTATCCATTTATTTACTATTTAGTGTAAATATTAGAGTATACAAAGCACGGGTACAACGGATGCAGATGATTCGTGCCGTAACAAACCCAGCCATAAAGAAACAGAAACAAAGTGTTATTCGAAGATACCTTTCTTGGCAGCAGGAGCAGGTTGGAAGTGATCAAGCATGAAGTAGCAGATCGAATAGTTCTACTGGTGAAACGGAGCGGAGAACAACCATTGCCCAAATCATGTTTCTTAGCTCCCAGACAAGTATGGTAAAAAGACCGACCTCGGAGGGTAAAACACGTATCACCGTGGACTTGGTCTCCGGATAATGGACGTGGTAAGCTCTTGCCATTACAGGGATGGCGAGTAGAGAGGAGGCCCGACTCGCTGCGCACATCAGCGAATCCCACCTTGCACAGGGTGTCATGATCGATGGAAGTCTTTTCGGTGAAATATTCTTATAATTTACCTCCTTACGCAGATGCGAGCCCCTGTTCACCGCCCTTGCAGTCTTCAGAACAAGTCGTTAACCATTGCCATCAGGCTCGAGGAAATACATTGTTAAAGGCAAGCCCCGGGATAAAACTGGTGATAAGAGCGCTTCGTAGTGATGACTGAGCTGCGGAACGACCTGAAAGTGGAAAGGAAAGCAAGAGAAATCTTTGGGAACGCTGAAATTAAGGCCTTAACCTTCAAAAGGTCGGATGTGGTACGATGGCGAGCAGGGCGTCAAAGAAGACAAAACACGCGAGAGAGCACGCTGATCTCTATCGAGGTGGGTGGGAAGCGTTGCAACGGGGGTCGATGGTTGCAGGCCCGTAAGGATTAGCGCCCTAACCGCGCAATTTTGCGACGAAGCTGGAGTGATCTAGGTAGGTACGGACCTTACAATTTCCCTCGCGGTATCCTTCCCACAAGTCGGGCTAATCCCGGGGTTTGTCCTTGATTCTCCTGAAGCAAATGCCTGACTTCTTTCATCGATTACTGGTGTACAGTTGCCAGGGACGCAAGAACACTGTCAACCAGCACCGGCATCAGAATGGACCACCAATCGTCGAGGGTTTCAATGCCATCAACCCTTGCATCATGTTACTGATACAGATTTTCCTGGCGTTGCCCGTGTAGGAGGGTATCATAAAGTCATCCAAAGAAAGGAACGCGCTCTTTAGTCATCAGACGATTCATCCGGCTTGAATTCAGCGAAGTGCTATCAAGTCGGTCTTAAAAGTGAAGTGAATTGCCATTGTTTTGGCAACCGCTCTATGTAACTTCCGCCCTTCATCAACCTACAGCAGCGCTTATTAAGTGGGCTCAGTGGTGACATTGAACTCTTGAGCAGTCGCCCGCTCAATTAGAATGCTTCATCCTAAGGTAGTTAGCTTGAATGGGGAGTTTACGATTAGCAGGCTGCCCTAAGGTGGAGGAGGTCAGTGGTGCCGGGATGGAAATACCATCAGAAACGGCACAGCACTCGAGAAAGGGGACACTTTCCGCCCGTTGATTTTCTGATTCGACTCGCATCGGTGCCCCCTCAACGCTAAGGCTCTCTCTGCCATACGGCTAGAGACCTGCGGCGAGTGGTTAGCCAATCGGTGGGCGTGCCGCGTCGACAGCACCGCGGAAATGGACATGTAAGACCGTATACCCTTCGCTGCGAATTGCGCTTCGCTTCGCACCCTTAGGAGGTTCGCCTCCGCCTTTCCAACAGAGGTATGTTTTCGCCCTTCCTCCAACTCACGGTCCCTAACGTAACGGTTCCGAATCTTTTTCCAGGAGTAAGTCGTTGGCACGAAAGAACGTTTTGTCCGATTTGAACAGAAGTGCAGACGAGCGGGCAGTCGACGGTGAACGCGAGAAATAAGGTCTTGCCGGGGAGTTTTCTTTTCCAAGGCTTTTTTGCGGTGTGTCCTTCAAACGAAGACACTTCGACAAATAATTAGGGTAGCCCTGAGTAGTGCGCGTTACACGCATCCTCTCAAGATCGTTACTAAAGTTTACAAAGGCATTTTGTTGAAAGTGCTCAATCACATAGGCGCTAAGAAAGTTCAGGTACTCAAGTGGAAACGGAATGTGGACCTGGAAACGACTTTTCTGTATCAACAAGATCTTACCCTGGTAAGATTTACAACGTTGGGGCATCCTTCCTGAAAAACCATCCTCCAAAAATCTTCAATGGTGTTGTCGAGAGGTGCCTGAAAACTACTAGTAAAAACGAAACTCCAGAGTTTCCACGTGAGATATCAGCAAATGAAGACCTGGGTTGCGATGAATATTTTGTCGTGTCCCTCGAATTTCACCCAATTCGCATGGATGTAATCAGTACTGGGTGGAACATCCAGTGTTAACCGTACTCTTGTGTCATCCAAACAAACCACATCCTTAAACAGAGGCTTTTGGTTACGCATAATAGTTTTTGAGATGCGCCAGTTGCAATCGTATCATCTAATTAACCCTTTGACGACAATGCGGATTTGCACGTAGCGTGCTCGTGGGACCACGCCTCTTTTTGGCGCGCCCAACTCTCGCACAAAATGGGGCAAAATTGTCCCTAAAAGCAGTTTTTCTATCAAAATTTTGACTATGACAATAAATAAAATATGAGTCTTAAGCTTTATGATCATGTATTGTTGGAATTAGAAGTGGAAGTTTGGAAAGAAATCTCGGATTTCAAAGGGATGGTGTTTGAAAACTTCAGAAAGTTCAAGTGTACAGTAGAATTTTTGATATAGTTCAAACTCCTTCTTGTGTCTTAAGACTGTAAAAAGACGTAGAGGTCCTGATCTGTAATTCACCTTAAGCTCTTAATAATGTAAAACACTAATTAATACATCGCCGGGCGAAGTGCCATATCCTAAAACTTCATATAAATTAGCTAGTAACAAACATTTCTGCAAAATATGCTAAACATAGGCGTAACGGAGCTTGCTTATAATTACTGATGTGATTTTGAAAATGTGTTTCAAATGGGTAAAAGGAAGAAAATTTCAGGGTGGCACCCACCATTGGGTGCCATTGTCCCACGCGACGGTCATAGTGGCACCCACCGGTGGGTGCCATTGTCGCCAAAGGGGTTAAGGAAGAACATTGTCGTGTACGATTCGATGAGAGGCCAATGCTAGCCAGCAAAGTTGAGTACAAAATGTAATGGCTGCTTCAGAGTCTCCTCGCATCAATAGCAAGGACAAGTCAGAGTTG